TTTCGGGGGACATAATTATTATACGTTCAGGGGTATAATTAATAACGTATAATTATTTCTTCTTTTCAAAAGTTCTTTTTTTCTTTTGCTAAACGTTAATCCGTTTTCCTGTAAGGACAGCTATATGCAATAAACCCTCAGCACATTGCCACATTCCGTCAAAGCTGCGAAGTTCTCTGTTCTCTGGTTTGAAGATCGCTATCATTAAATGAACTCAATATTTTGGAGCCAGGAGCGTTTATCACAATACAACAAGCGTCGCGTAGAGCAAACGGGATGTATTGGAGAGCCAAAGTTCATGCAGTTAAAAGTATTCCTTTTTTAGTTTAAACAACAGGCTTTTCCTTAGTGTTTTATTTATCCAGGGCGTTTATTTTGTTTATCTCTACGTCGTCTTGCACTCGATCTTGGCACCGAATAATTGTTCATCCAGTATATCATGGAGGATGTGTGCCGTAAATAGGCTAATATTGTATATTGATTACTAGCATACATTTAATATTTTAATATACTAAGACAAATATGACCAGCCAGCCTATTTTACTGAACTTGACAAAATTTGACGAAATGTGATACGAAGTAATCCTTATATACACATAAGCATACATATTAACGACTCGGGTGATAAACTGAGTGCCGACTGATTATTGCTGTTTCTAAATTGTACCTTAGGTTAGCAATATATTGTGCTTGGCGTTGATTTTATGGCCGCAGTCTGCATCGCTTTGACATGCAGGCTGAAGTGCGTTCACACTTCTGAAGTCAATCTTTTGAAGTCAATATACAGTACAGGGTGTCTCTCAAATGACCAAAGCTTTAAAGTCCAATAACAATCGTTTTCTGCCTTCATTTAATCATTTCCTCCTCCTTTTCAAATTTTGCATAGAAAAACACAAGACATGCCAAGTTCTTGTCATTAATAATGCGTCACAAACTCATCACCATTGTAAATTTTATATGTGTCGATGAAGCTACAGCGTGTTATCGAAAGCGCGATAACGGGTTCTGCAGCCTGCTCCGTGGCATGCATGCTATGTAATGAGGCATTCCAGCTTGATTTTAATAGGGGTACTTTTTTATACACCCTGTATAGTGTCTCTAAACTACCAAACCATTAGAATCGCATCTTCTTAGAAATTTAATACCTCCCTCTGTGGCGAAGCCATTAATGAGTAAAAACACGCATGCATTTGCATTGGGAAGTTGATATCAGTTGACCGTTTTCTGGGAAAAACAAAGATTTTTATCTCGACGTGTCAGCACACAGCCAATAGCAAACCGATATATGGATACACACCCGATGTCATGAGACAGTTATAATTGTATAGCTTAATGCACGTGCAATTACCTTTTCTGAGAAGGTTATTCTTTGTCGGGCGTGTGAATTGAGACAAGATTCTACAATATGGTTTCGGTGCGGTCGTTTTGCTGCTGGTCAATATTGTTCTTAGCCGTAATGGTACAGTCTATCAACGACAACTTGACATTGAGAAGGCCAGTTAACCGAAGAAGCAAACGTATCTTACCGCCGTTCGCGACAGTTAATACCAAAGATCCGCAATGCGCTCTGTTGATGAATGAGAGTGGAATTACAGAAGTTATTAAACTCGTACAGCATGAGCTTGTTAACATAGTGGATCTTTCCTTCTCGACGAGTTCTAACAACAGGCTGTTAGCAAACAAGCAAATAGCAATAGTGAAACCCATTGGTGAACAAATTTTGTATGCGCTTGATATAAATGACTACAACTACGCTATGTGGTCCTTGAATGTCGGCCGGAGAAGCTACAATTTAAATGTTAGGGAAGATCCCGAGGAATGTTTGGGAGACTCTTACGACTATGTGATTGCGAATACTTTTAAACGAATCGTTCTCCGAATGAAGCCAAATCCAACAAATTACAAAATCTGTTATTTGCAAAGGACAAACCTTTGGAAATCACGTCAGATCTGCTGCCATATTACCAATCCTGATCCTACGAACTTTGAGTACAGATGTCCCGAAATACAGTCACATCATGGTACTTATAATTTTCTTTGGGTCATTGCGATTTTTGGGACGGGTCTTCTTCCAGTTATCTTCTTGATCTTCCTTTATTCGTTTCTGTCTCATAGTGTCTTTGACGAAAAGTATCCGCTTTACCACAAGCTACAGGAAAGCCCAATGTCTCCGTCCTCTATTCTCTTTGAAATTTTTTGGAGTGAACGCGGGGGTATAGTAACCTTTATTCGTAAGACTTCATTAATATCGGTCTTGTCATATATTATCTACCACAGTTACAGAAGCAACCTACTAAATATTATCGTACTTTTACCAATGATCGCCTTCCACGCTCTTGTAATATCTCCTCTCGCTGCCTTCCATATTGGAAATAAGGGCGATAAAGAGTTACTTATCGAAATACTTCAAGACGAAGGATTTGTCGGGGGAGTCCCTTTTTTGAACCACTTGCCATTCAACATTAAGTCTTGGCGAAGAAATGTTAGGGACGTGGAAAATTTCATTTTTACAATCCCAAATAAATTTGTTAGACCAACCGTTAAGACAATTCCAAAATCAGTTGCACTATATGCATGCTATTTACTTAAAGTGGTACTCTTTGTTTTTTTCTTTTTACTTGCCCCAGCTATTATATATTTTTACGCGATATTATTCCTGACGCCGCACCTCATCATGCAAATTTTAGAATTTGAATATACCTATCACCGAGATAAATATTTCTACCCGTCACACTGCGAAATGTTTGATGTTTTGTGCGCAGTCTTTCTATTGACATTTACCTCCTATGCGTATTATATCCTGGTTTTCGCTTCTCAGTCTTTCTTGTTGGGTTTGTTCTTAAATATTGCTTACTTCGCTCCCTACGCTGCACCTCTGGTCGTAACCGCATTCTATTGCTGCACTTGTTGGAAGTCTATGGAAAGAAAATACTACTACTTGAAACAGCTAATATACGAAGAATGCGGAAAAGAGGAAATCAATAATAATTCGAACCAACGTCTGCAACAAAACGAAAGGTTGTTACCCGTTGTGTCCAGAGAGCTTTACGAAAATATCAGAGAGAAATTATTACCCTACGATACAAACTTGACTTGGCTTGGCTTAAAGATTGGACTTTTGCTTGGATATTTGTATTTCGTTCTTATGGTGTTAGATATACTTCATGAACACAATTTTACAATTCCTGCTCAAATGTGGACAATGATTAGTGTCAGTATCATACCGTTTATATTCAATACGTTAGCATTGAAAGTCAGCGGTGGAGAAGGAAAAGAACCATGGATTAGGGTCCTAGAACTAAATGTGAAAGAAATGGTGCCTAAACAAACCGATGGAACTCGTTCTCGACTAGCTCGTAGAGCTTTGGTAGTGAAGGAAAGCAGTTCAAACACAGTTTCTGGCGATGTTGTTGATTCTCAGGTAACACCAGAAGAGAATGCACCCATTCAAGATGCACAAAATTCACACAATGAAATACAATGCAATAATTTATTTAACGTCGAAACAGAGGGAGTGGTTACCCAATCTCCCGAGCCAGAGGTTAATGGTAAAAGTGCACGACACAATAACAAGCAGTATGTAACGGCTATCTGATCGTTCTAAACAGTCATCCTATTTTATTGTTTTTTATTAATACGACAAACATTTTAATGAACGGGTTGAAAACATGTGGAAAATGTGCATGCGAAAAATATACGTAGTTGAGTTACTAACATTCAGTAAACGATGTGATATTATTTGCATCATATATCTATCTTTTAATTTGATATCTTTAATTTAAGTACATATCCATAATGAAAATATTGTAAAGGTATGGATCTATAGTTTTGCATGTGTCTTGATATCATATTTTGTGGTTAAAGACGAAGTAATGCATTGCTAGTGGAAACACTTTTATACTTCACGTTGTCCATACAACTTTATATAACAAAGTTTTAAAGACTTCAGGCAATTTCGTTGGTAGAGAGCCATGATCTATAAGAGGACAGACGCTTTTATCAGTAATTTCTTGTTTTCTTTTGTCAGGCAATCACATTTTAGCACGTCTTAAGCTAGCCAATAAGCATTTGTGGCTAGGTGGGAAGGGTTTGTCTAGCAAGTTTGGGAAGCTGCAGCCAACATTGGTCCGGCTCACACTCTTACAGTCTTACTGAAAGGAGGATTGAACCAAATGACGTAGCAATGCCTGCTTCTGCGTGTTTGTGGCTGTGATGCATCAGTATTTCATGTAGTCTAATTTGTGTCTACAGTGCTTTAGTGCGTTTTGGTAAATAGGTGCTGATCTTATTACGAAAATCACTAAACTGCAGACACTGCCGCTATGAATTTCAAACGGCGGTAGACGTTTGATCATTCCAAATTCAAATTCGGTTAAGTCATGTGATCAAATCGGTTCATCGTTTTAGTCACATGACTTCACGATTTCTAATTCTAATTCACACACCCTAAAATCATTTCGCCATTTTGCGACTTTATTTGTTCTAATCATCTTTCTTGCTTTCTAAACATGTCTCTGGTTCAGCTTAAAATAATTTATACATATTATTCAAGAAAAAGGACCACACCGCTCTTCATTTCTGAAAAGGAGCTATTACAAGACGATTTTCAGACGTTTAAGAACAGATTGATGACAGAGGTGCCACATTTGGCTAAAATGCGTTCTCCCGTGCAACTCACGGTAATAGACGATCAGCTGGAGGTTGATCTTTCCGCAGAATAATTACAGAGCGTAAGTCCTTGTCTAAGGCCTTTCCTTGGTCATATGTTCGTCCAAATGTATTCATTTTTGTACAGTATTGCCAGGTGTTGCACGGTAAGATTCGCGCGTAAATTAAAATTAGAAAAACAGTCAACAATAACACGAAGTCATGTGACTAAAACGATGAACCGATTTGATCACATGACTTAACCGAATTTGAATTTAAAATGATCAAAGGTCTACCGCCGTTTGAAATTCATAGCGGCAGTGTCTGCAGTTTAGTGATTTTCGTAATATTATGCTTTGTAATGTAGGTAGTAGTTTCTCTATTTTTCGCTCTATAATACTCAAAGTTCCTACTTTGCAATTCCATCTCAAACGTCACCAGTCTATTTCTTGCGTGGGCTCCCATATAGATTTGTCGTCATTTGTTATCCAACCGGCATGCTCAAGATCAGATCGCACTGTTTTGGCCTGGTTCTTAGGCGCCTACATTTAATTCACATGTCGTAATTTGTTGTGATTCGGTTTTCGTTTGTCGGATTTCGCATAACAACGAATTATGACACATGACAACCAGCCTTATATAGGTAGTTAAGAAGTAGTTAATAACACCTCGTCTTCGATTCCTCGCCATTTTATTTGTTCATAGCACCGTTAAAGGTTTTGGGCTTCATCTTTTGAGCTGCACTGGGATAGCCATGCATGTATAAGGTTCACTCAGATACAACCCGTCTCTTTGTCACTTGTTTTTTAAGGAAGTGCCGAAATTCAAACAATACTTCGACTGCCGCGCCATTATCCGAATGCATGTAAGTTAATGTGAATACATTGAACGTATTAATGCAGAAAGTTTCAGCCAGATTACGGGGATGCTCTCTTAATTGCTCGCTCACCTTATGCAGCAACAGTATAGAGACCATATTTAGCCCATTCTCCGGCACTGGGCGAATTTTCGGAAACGCGAGGAAGACGGCTATATTGGGCAATGTGTAATCAATAAAAATGAATAATTAAAGATTCATGCATGCATAAATGCATGGCGTAGTTGATAGTAAACATCGTTGACGTTCTAAGTAGAATCTTTTGAGATTGTAAACCTTATTATGTTTCTAAATTTTTATTCTATTAACTATAAGCATATCTGTTTCAAAGAGTTTGCTTTAGCAGTTGCCGGTCTCCATGTATTTCTTGGGTTATCTACTTCTCGACCTTTTCACTAATTTGCGATGCTAATTTTCTATTTTTATGTCCACCCGTCAGCATACAGCCAATAGCAAACCAGTACAAGTATCATTGCCATTGGGTATTATACCCGTTGTCATAGTTGTCATAGTTATATAGCTTAGTTCACAATTTCTTTAAAGGAGTATTCAAGAGAGTATTTCAAAGAATATTCTTTGTCGAGCCTGTGAAGACTAGATTCTACATTATGGTTTCGGTGAGGATATTTTACTGTTGGTCAATATCGCTCTTAGCTTTAATGGTGCAATCAAGCAACGACGAATTGTCGAACTTAGAGCCTAACAAAACATTAAAAAGGCAAGATAACCAAAGTATCAAAAGTGAGAGTATCTTCCCGCCGTCTGCGACTGTAAACACCAAAGATCCGCAATGCGCTCTGTTGATGAATGAGAGTGGAATTACAGAAGTTATTAAACTCGTACAGCATGAGCTTGTTAACATAGTGGATCTTTCCTTCTCGACGAGTTCCAACAACAGGCTGTTAGCAAACAAGCAAATAGCAATAGTGAAACCCATTGGTGAACAAATTTTGTATGCGCTTGATATAAATGACTACAACTACGCTATGTGGTCCTTGAATGTTGGCCGGAGAAGCTACAATTTAAATGTTAGGGAAGATCCCGAGGAATGTTTGGGAGACTCTTACGACTATGTGGTTGCGAATACTTTTAAACGAATCGTTCTCCGAATGAAGCCAAATCCAACAAATTACAAAATCTGTTATTTGCAAAGGACAAACCTGTGGGAATCACGTCAGATCTGCTGCCATATTACCAAGCCTGATCCTACGAACTTTGAGTACAGATGTCCCGAAATACAGTCACATCATGGTACTTATAATTTTCTTTGGGTCATTGCGATTTTTGGGACAGGTCTTCTTCCAGTTATCTTCTTGATCTTCCTTTATTCGTTTCTGTCTCATAGTGTCTTTGACGAAAAGTATCCGCAGTACCGCAAGCTACAGGAAAGCCCAATGTCTCTGTCCTCAATTCTCTTTAAATTTTTTTGGAGTGAACGCGGGGGTATAGTAACCTTTATTCGTAAGATTGCATTAATATCGGCCTTGTTATGTATTATACACCGCAGTTACAGAAGCAACTTACTAAATATTATCGTACTTTTACCTATGATCGCCTACCACGCTCTTGTAATATCCTCTCTCGTTGCCTACCGAATAAGAAATAAGCGCAATAAAGAGTTTATCGAAATACTTCAAGATGAAGGATTTGTCGGGGGAGTCCCTTTTTTGAACCACTTGCCATTCAACGTTAAGTCTTGGCGAAGAAATGTTAGGGACGTGGAAAATTTCATTTTTACAATCCCAAATAAATTTGTTAGACCAACCGTTAAAACAATTCCAAAATCAGTTGCACTATATGCATGCTATTCACTTAAAGTGGTACTCTTTGTTTTCTTCTTTTTACTTGCCCCAGCTATTATATATTTTTACGCCATATTATTCCTGACGCCGCACCTCATCATGCAAATTTTAGAATTTGAATATACCTATCACCGAGATAAATACTTCTACCCGTCACACTGCGAAATGTTTGATGTTTTGTGCGCAGTCCTTCTATTGACATTTACCTCCTATTCGTATTATATTCTGGTTCTCGCTTCTCAGTCTTTCTTGTTGGGATTGTTCTTAAATATTGCTTACTTCGCTCCCTATGCTGCACCGCTTGCCGTAACCGCATTCTATTGCTGCACTTGTTGGAAGTCTGTGGAAAGAAAATACTACTACTTGGAACAGCTAATATACGAAGAATGCGGAAAAGAGGAAATCAATAATAATTCGAACCAACGTCTGCAACAAAACGAAAGGTTGTTACCCGTTGTGTCCAAAGAGCTTTACGAAAATATCAGAGAGAAATTATTACCCTACGATACAAACTTGACTTGGCTTGGTTTAAAGATTGGACTTTTGCTTGGATATTTGTACTTCATTCTTATGGTGTTAGATATGCTTCATGAACACAATTTTACAATTCCTGCTCAAATGTGGACAATGATTAGTGTCAGTATCATACCGTTTATATTCAATACGTTAGCATTGAAAGTCAGCGGTGGAGAAGGAAAAGAACCATGGATTAGGGTCCTAGAACTGAATGTGAAAGAAATGGTGCCTAAACAAACCGATGGAACTCGTTCTCGACTAGCTCGTAGAGCTTTGGTAGTGAAGGAAAGCAGTTCAAACACAGTTTCTGGCGATGTTGTTGATTCTCAGGTAACACCAGAAGAGAATGAATTCATTCAAGATGCACAAAATTCACACAATGAAATACGATGCAATAATTCATTTAACGTCGAAACAGAGGGAGTGGTTACCCAATCTCCCGAGCCAGAGGTTAATGGTAAAAGTGCACGACACAATAACAAGCAGTATGTAACGGCTATGTGATCGTTCTAAACAGTCATCCTATTTTATTGTTTTTTATTAATACGACAAACATTTTAATGAACGGGTTGAAAACATGTGGAAAATGTGCATGCGGAAAATATACGTAGTTGAGTTACTAACATTCAGTAAACGATGTGATATTATTTGCATCCCTATATCTATCTTTAATTTCATATCTTTAATTAAGTATATGTCCATAATAAAAATATTGTAAAGGTATGGATCTATAGTTTTGCATGTGTCTTAATATCATATTTTGTGGTTGAAGACGAAGTAATGCATTGCTAGTGGAAACACTTGTATACTTCACGTTGTCCATACAACTTGATATAACTAATAAAGATAAGAATTCAAGCAATTTCATTGGTCGAGAGCAATTATTTATGAGAGGACAGATGAACAGACGCTGTTATCAGTAATCTCTTGTTTTATTCTGTCAGGCAATCACATTTTTTCACGTGTCGTAAGCTAGGCAATAAGCATTTCTCCAATTTTATAAATCTTGTAGCAAAATTTCTACTTTGACAATTTTCTACAACAAGTGTTTGGGAGACTATTTGCCTGTTTAATTTCGGAATTTTATTGATATTAATATGTAAAACAAACAGATAACATTGAACCGTTGTCTGTTCAATTATAGATACACGAATGACGTTATATGTGATAAAAACAACTCACCCCGGCGGCTCGTGGCCACTTTGCTTTGTTCTTATCACTGACACGAATGGCATTATCCGGTGAATCTATAACTGAACAGACAACGGTTCCTTTGAAGGATCGCTGGCTTCGCTGCTACGACTACGAGATTGGCTATAACTGAATAACCGACTAGCCTGCGTGCGGACGTAAGTATAAAAAAATACGTCTGCGTATTATTGCAACATTTCATGTTTTGCGTCATATTGTCAATTGTTTATTTAAAATGGAATAGTCCACTAGCTAACAATTACAATTCCCTGAATTAGCACTGATTCTCTGCATCCTAATTATATTAATATGCACATTTTTATAAATTATATGGGCCTATAGTCTCCATTTTGTTGTAATTGTCTTGAACACATCATCCTTATTTCGCTGTTACAGAGATGGAATATTTTAATATTCTATTTCATCAACTATCTTGAGATGTTCACGACAATTAGCTACGACTAAGTGGAAGCCAGGCTTTATTAAAACTGACGTGCATGGTAGGATATCGTATGTTTAGGAGTTACGCCCGTCTTTTTCCCATTCATAGTTTGTTAAGAATGTTCTCAATGGGAGGAATCAACGTCACTGCAGATTATGCTCTTTCGATTCACTGAGTAACCACTCAATTCTTTTGTTGCTAGATTTTATTTAGCAGCGTCGTCATAATTAAAGGTATAGATATGCGCTTTCAAGTCAAATGATGCAAAATGCTGATTATATTTTCTTTTGCGAGGAATCACTTGTCGAAGGTTGCAATTCAATCGACGATGTTGTGCTCGGCAGTTTCCTTGAGGGACGACGACACATTCCCACCAGAGGGAACCACCACGATTGCCAGAGGCGCCTCACCTTCTGTTTTCCGATAAGAAGTATTAATGTGCCAGCTTGAAAGACGATTCCAGAGAGCAAGAATACAATTACCAGCCCATAGGAGGTTTCATATTCAAGAAAATCTAGAGGCAAGTCGTTTTGTCAAAGTTAACAAAGATAAGTCCACAGAATTAATATATACAGAATGCGCACTTATGTATATATGCACGAGTTTTAAGTTAATCTTAAAACAGGTATAAAAGTTTTTTCCCGGCGAAACAGCAAGTTTCTGAAGTTCCAACAATTTTGAAATGACAGATTTAAACCTACTAAAACCTATTAAAATCTTTATAACGAAATAAGTCAAAATGCACGCGGTGAAAAACATCACTCACATGCATGCATGCATGCACGGTACGCGAATTTACATCTTCCCTCATGAACAACTCACAAGCAACGTTCTCCGTATAGTTTAGTATTTAGAGCATTGCTCTAAAGTTGCAAATTAAGGTGTAGGTCGATTATCTAAGTTGCATTTTTCGCAACGGTTATACCTTTGGCCTTAATACTCGTATGTTTCTGTCAACACTGTAAAAACAGGAAACAGTTCAAAATTGGTTACATTAAATTCCTTTATTGGAATACTTTTTTATTGGTTAAAACAACTAAAAGTTTGGTTAAAACATCCAATTAGTTCTCTTTACCAAATGGGTAAAAAAGAGATGAATCTGAGACAACCAATTTTAAAACTGTTTAATGGTGTAAGTTCTCATTCCCATTTTTATACACTTTTGTAAAACATTAGGTCCCATATAGTTAACAACGATATTAATACATGATAACACTGAGGTGTACCTCTTGGACAGTTGTTACTGAAGAACAAGCATCCGAAATATTTTTTCAAGGACATCTCGTATGCTTCTCTGTTGCTGAGTTGAATACACAACAGACCATAAGTGAGAAATACACACACGATATATGATATTATGACCATAATGAATTGGGAAGCGATCTTTTGCATCTGAAGTTGACGTCTTCTCGCTTGATTGGGAGATCCTATCAAACTGGATTTTCTTTCCTAAAATAGCGTTCACAAAAAAACAAGTATGCATTTCGCATACACCTCAGATATCATGATCGCGACTCTAAAATCTTTTTACCTTGATAAGTTTGAATATCACCAACATCATGCACGTTATTCCAACACTGATGAAGAGCTGTTGCGGCAACAAAGACGAGTAAAATCCTTCGTCGGCATTTTTTTGGAAGCAATATCGTAAATTAACCACAGTGTAATTGCTGCCAAATTTCAACACGTAAACGACGGGTATTATCGGAAGTGCAATTACTACTAGAAACAAGACTACCAGGAATGTTCTGCTGTGGCTTTCGTTCGGGCGCTTGTCGATAACAAGGCGCTGTAACAAGAAATTCATAATTTTTCTTCCATACTCAATTTTTCGAATCAATTTCGATCCGCCGTCCACGATGGCCTCACCTTCAGCAAAACCGCATTGTAGATCACGAACAACTCTCCGATCACAAAACTGACATACTGAATTAAGGCACCTTGTGCTTCACAAAATGATGTAGGAGTCTTTATGGCGTCGTCAAGAAATTCGCTTGAGCAGAACAATTTTGACCGTTCTCCCAGTTTAGGAATGATTACCAGTATCCCTTAATTATGAAAAGAACTTTAGTTCTCACGTGCTCCTGCAAATATCAATTAATCGTTTGTGTGACAATGGTGCTGTATATCAATTACCATGGAAAACATAATTATCAATTTAAATAACTATATGAGCTAAAATATTTCAATAATAAAAGTACATATAACAAATGCACAAGATATATAGGTTCAGTGATTAACAAGATGTATAAGAGTAGTTTTAAACTTAGGCCTTAGCCTTATCCGGCACTGTTTAAGCTAAAAGCCTTTCGAGCAACCGGCTCCTGACTGTAATAAACTCCTAATTTTTTATCTATAATCTAACCGTTAAGCTATCTTTGTTTGCGTTTTCCTTGTAAATAATTTCATGACATTCTTGATCCTAGTACTTAGCTCTTCGAGAACAACCTGCTATAATGGCTGTTAAAGCCAGCTTGGAAAAATACCAGAAGTTTAAATGGCAGTAGCTACGTAGCTACAGTATATATATTTTTTTCTGTTGAATTACCTATAAAAGCACTCATTCCAGCCATTAAGAGTATTAGGAGATGTGGAAATTTCATACTATACAAAGGAAAACATCAAGCTGTTATTTTGAAATTCATACAAAACGTACTGACGATCGTGAGTTAGTTGGCTTTCGACACTTTCTGGAAATTCAGTGGGATGACAAAATGCACGATGATTTAAATTTTTTCTGGTTTCAAATGAATTTATTGGAGAGCAATACGCGTTAAAGGTAACTGTAGTTACCACTTAACATTGCCATGTTAATATAGTATTGTTTTTGTCAGAAAATTTTTCTACAATTAAAAGATTATTAATGGGAATGGGAAATAAAATGTAGTAAAAAATTTGCTACTGACGAATATGAAAATTTCCATTTACAATTCTGGTAGTTTCAGCCACGTTGTGAACACGAGGCAGAAGCATGTTGTACTAAATACAACCGCAATCCAATCGGCTATCGACATTCCTTGTTGTTCCTTTTCGCTGAATGACAACCAGTCACAGGGAGGCTTGCAATATCCGGCTTGTTTTGAGAGGATCAGTGGTGGATTGCACGGGAACGAGGGGGTGATTTTTAGCATACTGTAATAGAAATTCACTAAATTAATATATAATAGAAAAACCTAAGATCAAGGCGAAGGGCGTTAAGACGGCGCGTTCCTATTTACGATGCGGCATGGGCGAACATTCCGGTATATTCGACTTTAACAAGTTTGAATATACCACTTCCGGTATATTTAACTTTACCAGAACCGAGGGTATCATATTCCGGTATCATATTCGACTTCACCAAGTTTAACGAAACCTTGCATATCCAGGTATATTCGACCTTACCAAGTTTAAAGATACCATAATTATTCCGGTACATTAATGGACCACTTGCATAATAGACCAACTTTTGATTCAGGTGACAAAAAGGGAATTTCCTAAAAGAGCATACAAAACTTAGTAAAATTGCCAAGTTTTGCTGTGAAATATTGTAAAGTGCCGCAGATATAGCCATGCGAAGTTGGCGAATTTTGTATACTTTTGTATTACGGCCGGACGCGTGTAACTAAATTAGTTACACGCTTCCAGCCGTAGTAAAAAAGTATACAAAATTGGCAACTTCGCATAGCTATATCTTCCGTACTACTTTACATTTTGCAACCAAACTTGGCAATTTTACTAATTTTGGTATGTTCTTTTTAGCTGTTGTGATATATTTCCTGCTTGTCACCTAGATCTGAAGTTGGTCTATTATGCAAGTGGTCCATTCGACCTCAAAAGATCGAAAATACCATATTCTGGTATATTTAACAGTACCAAGGTCGAAGTTACCTTATTCCGCTATCAATCTCACCAAGTGATCAAATTCCAGTATATTCAACCTTACCAGGTCGAATATACCACATCCCGGTATATTCAACTTCGATCCCATAATTTCGGTACATTCGACCCTAATAAGTTTGAAGATACAATATACCGGTATATTAGACCTTAGACTTTTTGTGGAACGTCAACATTTTCCAAAATGCTTACTTTTTTCGGAGTTTCTATTGTTTTATATATTTTATCAACATACTCATGAAGTGGTTCCCGTAAACGAGAAAAACGGCGCGAAAAACGAAGTGTTTATCTTAATTTGTTCATTTTTTCTCGCTTGACTGTCAAACTTGTCATGCATGAGGGTCAGATTTTCGTTTTATTTAACTTTTATGATGGAGGCTTTTATTTGGATGCATACCATGCAGAGAGTGTTTGCAAAATATTTGTAGTTGAACTTCGTATAATCGTGCTTTATCTTTAATTGTTAGATGATTTTGGTGTCTGATGGTTTTCCGTCAGACGATTTTGACTCGTATACTGGCTACCTTTCTATCCTTGCTTGCTTAAGGCCATTACTGGTGCGCAGACTGATGATGTATGCATGTATTCAAAGTGTGTAGTATTCAATTGACAAACGCTCGGACAAATGTATGCGCTAGCTCGGACAAGCATGCCCGGGCATGTGCATGGGCTTACATTTCACCCAAACATCTTCAGTTCCGTTCATTGAGACGAACTATAAACAAGATTAAATATTAACGCATGATTTCGTTGACCAGTAAATGTTTTGTCAAATGCATTCGGCTGTAGATTTTTTATACAAATATACGTAAAAATTACATATATTCCTTTTTCTAAGGCAGCTCCGAGTTCTAGGGTAACTCTCGTTAATCGTAGCAATTCAGTAGACGTGCATTGTTCTGTGCACGATTCATTGTGCACAATTAAGATTAAACACGATCTTTTTCTCGGTAAAAATTAAAATTAATATATATATATATATACAAATACAGGAATTGTCGGTATGTTGTTATTCACTGTACCTTATGTTACCAGGATCCTCTCTTTTTGGCAACTCTCGCGGGTTCAAATAAAATAATGTAGGTAGAAAGCAAATAATCCAAGCGGCGATTATGAGGACTCCGCATAACGCGCGCCAGGCAACCTTCTGCGTTATCATGTTGTTGAGTCGATTGACGGGCACTGATGTTGCGTGAACATTTAATATATATATGTCTATGTATGACCGCGAGAGTATAATACTGGAGCTTTAATCAAAATTATTATACCCGACCCGTGTATTTGCCTTCAGGATGTTTGTCTTTGCCCATGGTGTATTGGAGTCAGCTTTCAAACAAACCGACAGGGGTTTGCACGGGTCAATTATAATAAATACCGGGAAAGTCAATACCGCTGAATTGATAGTGTCGCAACTGAAGTACGTTAATTCCTGGAAAATATAACCTGGAAAAGATAGCCATGCGATAGCTTGTACTATTACGGGTTATTGTTACGAGCTATGCGTGTTTGGGAGTTTTGCAAAAATTGGAAGAGCCCCCTGTTCGAGTTCAATTAAGCAACATTTTCAAAAATTACTCTTTATATCAATATCATATATATTATATACATATATATTAATACTGTAAAATCCTCATTATCAAATGCATTTACTGTCTACTGAAACGTCTATCTATATATAGGTCTTCTGGCATGGTCTTCTATAACGTCACAGTGACTTGTCAAAGCCAACTTTTCCAGACTTCTAATATTTTGTATACCATTGTCAGTATTTTATTCAGCGCTTGGTTTCTAATTTCTATATGCAGACGTTTCCGCCATTTTGTTTATTTAGGAAAGTCTTTAATTGTACCACCCCTGATTGTACCGAACCGTGCAATATAATGTATACTCCTCTCAATTATATAATTACACACAACTATGTGATAGATATAACTAATATAAATCATTGTAAAAAATTGGTATTAGCTGAATGCAGTTTTGTTCTGTATCATATAATTGGTAAAACACCTCATGGGTCGAAACGAGCTTGGTACACTAGTTTTGAGTTCGTTTAAGCTCGACTGCTAGTTAATCAGTAATCAAAGCTTTTCTCTGAATAGCTCAGTATAGAGGTTTCCAGCAAAGTGCTCATTTAATTGCCCAACATATCCCCTGAACTAATATATCAGTGACTTCATGTTTGTTTTTTAAATCAACAGTCGCCCCTTCAATATAAAGTCTACTGATGTTAGAAAATTCCTTTCGCAAACATCATGTTTGACATATTTCTAATTAAAATTTATTTTAAAAAGCATGCATTATATCACGATTCCGTCGCAAAATGTAAATTTAGGGACCTTGCACATGCAGGATCAAAAGGAGTCCATATGAAGTTCGAGGCTTGCCTAACCATGCAGCATGCATACAATGCAAAACTCTGTCCAATATAGCCTGCCGGTATAACTCTGGAGAATATTTGCTATTCTTCATATAGTTCGCAAAATGTGTCAAACTGATATTTCCGTTTTCCTAATAGTAGTTTAGATCTACTTTAACATCCAAAATCATAATATCTAGGCTTAATTTTCGACCAAATGTGACTATGAAGTCACAAAACATAAATACGTAAAAATGCATTTGTTTATATATTTAAGATGAATATACATGTTAAATTCGTAAGCGCATACACTGCATGTGGAATATATCAGTATTCATTATTCAACAAACTTTTATGATGCACGAATAGTCGAAAACCTTCTAAACTCTAACATTTCAAAACCTACAGTATAGTATAGTTTAACCAAATTGGATCTCATTTTCATGTCCCAAATTGCAGGAATTGCAGGATTCTATAGCACTTATTATATCCATTTTAAAATCAATGGTGTTTCCTCCAATCTGATTGCATGATATATGCAAACAAGAGGTGCATGCATGTCAGTGCAAAGTTTGCATGTCACTTACTTATATATAGCTACAATCTTACAATTAACGAATGCATGCATGCTTCTTACTTTTCCGTAAGTTGTTTTTGTTTTTACTACATATATATTATGTAGATATAACAGTATATTTGCTAAGGCTGTTCTTTTAAAACACTGGTCTTCTTAGACTCTGAGTAGGTAATGGATAATGGATGGATTCATGTTTAGACACGTAAACCCGAAATTTGCCGCTTTGCAAGATTGGCTGCATGAGACAATACAAATATTATACAATATAGAAGATAATTTTGCCCTAAAAGCAAAATTCGGTTTAGGTTGCATGGTGGCCTGATGTCCTCGAGGTTTGCCAAGTTGCATACTTTCCAACATCAGCTATGGCCTATGCCTTTAGCTGCTAATTTTTATAATTTATAGGTACACCCTTTTTTATACCTAAAAACGTTAACAGTAATATGAGAAACATTGGACAATGGCAAACTTCAGCGAACGTGATGAAAAATGCAAGGAAGCTAAGGCGATTGCTGATGTATTTAGCCAAACAGTAAATTCAGGTTTGCATGCAGTATATGTGTGTTTCACCGGCATGTTTGGCCTTTGAAATTTAATGCTTGGATATATATATATATATATATATATATATATATATATATATATATATATATATATATATATATATATATATATATATATGCATGCAGCCGTCCAAGCATTAACTTAGTTTCAGGATTGTAGCAAGTTCTTCAAGCAACTTGTGCCAAGATTGTCGACAACAAGCTGTACCATGCTGCATTGTTGGAGCAACTTGTTTACAAGCTTTCATAGTCAACAAGTTGTAACAGGACTATCATGCACGACAAGCTTGTAGCAAGCTGATAAGTCATTATCAATTTAAACAAACTAAACAAACTAAACAAAGTCTAAACAAACTTGTACTGTCATTGGTGACATGCAAG